TGTATGTATGTATGTGTCCCCAGATATACATACCTTTGACATACATAAATACCACCTGCACTCTTTGGCCACATACACGTCTGTGTTGCACATGTACCCAGACATACATACATACCATACATACCTGTAATTTACTCGGTATGTATGTTTCCCCGGACATACATACATACATACATACATACCTACATACATACATACATACAGGGTATGTATGTTTCCCCGGACATACATACATGATGGGTATGTACGACTCTTCTATGTCTCCGACAAACATACATACCCCTGCTTTTGAGGTATGTACGTTTGGACCATGCATACATACAGACATACCGCTTCTTTTCTAGGTATGTCTCTCTCCCCCAACCGACATACATACCATACATACCTCTAATTTTCTAGGTATGTATGTTTCCCCGGACATACATACAGACTAGGTAGGTCTGACTCTTCTATGTCTCCCAGAAACATACATACCCGTGCTTTTGAGGTACGTCCGTTTGGACCATGCATACATACATACATACATACCCCTTCTTGTCTACGTATGTATGTTTCCCCGGACATGCATACATACCGGACATTCCCCTATACTTTTCTAGGTCTCTATGTTTCCCGAGACATACATACATACCTCTCCTTTTTCAGGTATGTATGTTTCCCCAGACATACCTACCAGGTATGTATGTTTCCCCGGACATACATACATACCTACGATTTTCTGGGTATGTATGTTTCCCCAGACATACATACATACCTATCATTTTCTAGGTATGTATGTTTCCCTGCACACACATATATATCTTTATCATACATACATACCTATAGTTTCTAGGTATCAATATTTCCCCAGACATACATACATACCTATACATTTCTAGGTATGTATGTTTCCCCAGAGATACATACATACCTATACTTTCTAGGTATGTATGTTTCCCCAGACATACATACATACCTCTACATTTCTAGGTATGTATGTTTCCCCAGAGATACATACATACCTATAGTTTCTAGGTATGTATGTTTCCCCAGAGACACAGACATACCTTTGACATACATACATACCTGTAGTTTCTACGTATGTATGTTTCCCCAGACATACATACATACGTATCATTTTCGAGGTTTGTATGTTTCCCCAGACATACATACATACCTTTCACATACATACGTACCTCTCCTTTTCTAGGTATGTATGTTCCCCAGAAACATACATACCCCTGATTTCGAGGTATGTACCTTTCGACCATACATACATACATACATACCTAGATGGGGGGGGGAGGCAGGGGTTGCCTGCTAGATACTTACTAACCTCCGCAAACGAGGTATGTATGTTACCCCCCTGGGGTTCTTACTGGCTTGTTGGCATGTAGCTAACTAAATTGTTTGTTTTCTATAACCCGCACCGCACTCATACCACTCAGACAAGATCTCGCATCAGGTGGCTGTGTGCATGGTTTGTTGTTTGGAGATGGGATGTATGGCGGGAAGGCCTAAGACTTCGTCCGCCTCAGGTGGAGTGTTGCAAGGAGCTTTTGGCTGCCGAAGAGCTGACGGAGCCCCCAGGCGGTGCTCGTCCGCGCGCAAAAAGCGGCTGCGCGTCCGTTGACGCGCTGCGGCCGTGGGGCTTTTGAAAAGCGCTTTCGTTTGGCCGCGAGATGGTCACTCTAAGACTTTAGTACATAAATGGCCGCGAGATGGTCACTGGAGTCCAACTTGAAATGGACCGATCCAACATGTGAAAGTTTCTATTTGCAAAGTTTCAAAAGATTCAGCTTGGTCTGATCAATTCGCAGATCTTCAATAGTTTTGGTGCCTCGCATTGGGAGTCCAAGTCCAGCATGTCCGCTTATCAGCTGTTTCCGCAAGGATCCTTGGGCCGCAACGGCCAAACGGCCTTGCACGTGGCAGCGTTGCAAGGACATTTGGAGGTGGTCAAGGTGCTGGAGATGACTCGGTCGACTCGACATAGCTCGGACCAGACGGGTGACAGACGGGGGTTTACGGTGTAGCGAGACCAACGGAGACCTTTACACTGAGTGGGTTTTGAGGATGTTTGTGATCATTCTCGGTTCCTTTTGCTTGGGGTTCTCGGTATCCAATATGTCCGATTCAAGTACTGTTTGGACTCCTTGTCTCAGTCTGGTGATGGTCACATATGGTCACAGGATCATGCAGGTGCTGCTTTCCGCAGGTGCTTTTGAGCACGCAGAGCTTTGAAGAGGAGGTTGATCGTCGTGACAGGTGCGGCGAACAGAGATTCTGTGTGGAGCTAAAGCAAGTACACTGTACACTATCATTGAACGTTACATACAATTAATTCTAAATATATAGCAACCATAAGTGATAAGAAGTGAATCTTTGATTTTCCCCATTGTCCTCAACCAGATCTTTCAGAGGTGAAGATGTTCTTTTGGGTTCTGTCTCTTCAACTGACAAAAGCCATCCAGGTGGGGTCGCACAGCCCTGCACTTGGCCGTGGAGCAACACCACAGCGAAGTTGCACGAAGTATAGCGGAGCCTCGGCCGAGAGCGGCATTTATACGAGCCCCTGGAGCCTGAGTGACCACTGTTTTGGAGGAACAACTATCCAAAATATGGTCTTTTCCTATCAAAACAGAGGTCAGTCAGGCTCTAGGTATATGGTATATAATATACATTTACAGAGATGCCCTTTGTTACGTTCGTAGCTTCTTGTTACTAGTAGTAATGCCAGGAGCTACGTTCGTAGCGTCCGATCGCTCCGTTCGTAGCGATGCCCTATGCTCCTTGTAGCTTCTTGTTATGTATATATAAGCACACTTCTATCCATTTTGTCCCGTATTTCTTCAATGATTCTTCTGAATTTCTTCAGGACTTTACACCCTCGAAGCAGTACCTCACAGTCCAATTGCCGGATATTCCTTTTAAGGCTGCCACAGTCATGGCAGTTCACTGCCAATGGCAGATACGTTCTCCGAAAAAGGCCGGTCGAAACACGTTCCTCACTCGACGCTCGACACGTTCGACACTCAACGAATGATCACGTTGACACCCCACGATGTGACTTACCCCCAAATGGTTTTGTGGCTTAACCGGTCCAAGTTGGTCGTAAAATGCTTCCGAAAGAAAGCGCCTTCTGTGGACAACACTGGGGTGTCCAAGGAGCATCCAGCCTTCAATAGCTTTGATGCCAAGAGCGCCTGGGGGCGATCCGCCTTGGATTTGGCCGACAGCAACATGAAGGATGACTTGACCGCTGCACATCAAAGGCCCGGCACGGTGGGCAGCAAAGCAACCGGTTTTTTATTCATGGCGGCGCCTGCTTCACGTTATTTCACGTTCATCCTTTTTAAATGAAGCATGTCAGCCAGTCAACTCGTTTTCAGGGCCAAAAAGTCTTTCAAGACTGTTGAAGCTTTGGAAGGTTCGGGTCTTTTGAATGTTGCTGAAACCTCCGACCCTTGGCCACATGAGATCAAAAGGAGATTCGTCGTGACGGAACGCTGACCGCACGGGAGAGCTCGGCTCGTAGGAAGCTTGGAGCTTCCCAAGGAAGACGAAGGACGCGGCGGGTCCGGGACAGTGCAAGCTTGCGATGGGACAGTGCACAAGATGGAACAAATAATTAATGTAGTAACTACTGTAGACTCTTGATTAATAAACCATCCCATTTGGATGAACGAACTTGCGGACCGTCTGGTCAGACGCGCCTCCACACTCCCCCTTGCTATATTGTATAGCGGGTAAAGGTGGATGTTTGCAGTGAGACTCGCTACCAGAAGAAACGTGAGACCTAAGAGAAAAGAACTCTGTACACTACGAATGCAACAGGATACGAACCGCCAGATGCTAGCATTCCGGTATGAGTCGAAAACGCAAAACTGAGCATTTTTAATTAGCAGGTCGTGGAAAACCTAATTGGGGCCAGGGTGTGTAACCAGGTCGAAATCTTTTTTTCTGAACATGTTGTGTAAACTTCATCCCATTTGGATTAAGAGTCCTCTTCAAAGGGGGGGTTATTAATCAAGAGTCTACATTATGCATTCGCTGGATGGCTTTTGGGGGAGCATTATTTTCATAATTATGGTATATATTTGCTTTGAGTTGGATTCGAACGGGTTTTCCGGGGACATGATGTCCAAAGTCCCAAGGGGCTTTGGTTTGCGCGCGTCGAATTCGGACGCCATGAGTTGAGTTGCGCGAGGAACTTGGCGAATTTGGGAAGTCCTTTGGAGGCGGGCGATGTGTCCAGAATCATCCAGTCCACTTAACATGTCCACTCCATATGGGTTTATGTGTTTACTATGGGTTTAACTCCATCACGTGCTAAAATATGTTAAAATATGGAATTCAGTTTTGGGTTTACACATGTCGTGTGGTGTGTATATCTGTTGTTTAAAGGGAGAAGGGGTTACTGTATGAACGTGTTGCTTTTGAGAGGAAGGAGTGGGGTCCCTTAGGTCTTAGGTATTGGACTTGTTGGGAACCAGTTGCGATCATCGTCTTGGCCCTTCCTGACCAGGTTTCAGCACCAACGTGGGGCAGCCCGGGTTTCGAGCAGAGGAATGACAGGAAGATCGCCCAAACCCTTGGTAAGGGGAAACATTGATGAACAGGTGTTGCAGACAGGCTCGCGCTCTCTCTCTCTCTCTCTCTAGACACGGTCTTCATGATGGCTGCCGGCTGATCCATTTTAGCCTCTATGCTCGATCAGGTCGCCCCAGAAAGGCATGCAGGCGGGCGAGGGCGGCGTTCATCTGCCGCATTCTGGAGCTCTTCCGTGTGCAATTTGAAGACACAATATCAATATACTGTACTATATAAGTAAGCTTGCTATGTTGAAAAGATGTTCATTAATCTTTTGATCGAATTCCAAGCGCACAACGTACAGCCCACTACTGTTATCAAGATTGCATCCTTTGGCAGTTTGCACTTGTTTCTGCTGACAGGACCGCGTCGGTAGCCCCAATCGACCAACAAGCGCCACGAACGCAAAGTGAAAGACCCAACGAGGCTAATCCTGTCCTGCCAAAATGGCGGGGTCATGGTCACACTTCACACCACTGAAGCAAGGGCCCGGCAAGGCAAGGCCATCTGTTTTTGTGCCGATTCTTCCGCGCCTCCATCGGTGGTGTGACGCACATCTTTTCAGTGGAAACACTTTGTACAGCGCAGCACAAGTGATATCTCTTTAAATGATCTTTTATGCTCATCATGAGAGACGGCCAAAGATGCGTGTCCAAAAGGAGCTCGCAGTCAAGTCAGATCACTCTGATCAAATACATCTCCGTCCCGATTGCCTCTTTTCTGTTTCCTTTGCGTTCAAAATCTTTCACAACCGAAGTCCAAGCTTTGCAGAGGCTGGAGCACCTAAAACTCAGGCTGTTGCGATTGGATTGCGTTGAAAAAGCACTCTTTCTGCCAGGCAGAACTCAGAACTGAGTGTCTAGTTCCTTCCCGCCCCCGTCCACTCCATTGTCAGCCATGTGGCTCGTAACATTGAAAAAACTATGAAGCTTGCAAGCCTAGAAGCATGTTTGAATGGCCTGGCATGAGTCCGTGCACAAGAGCTTTGGCAAGCCGAACATTTCACAAAAGTCTTTTTCGACAGTCCAGAACACCCAGCAAATGCATCTTTTTGGCAGACATATTGCATTCATTGCTTCACTGCTGAGTCGAAAAGGGATGGAAACTCATTGTTTCTTGTTGGTTCTTCAGCAGATAAACTCAGATTGAGGCCTTCATGACCACGTTGTTATCAAAAGCCACCACTATTCGCGTCCTTAAACTTTTGGGCGCGATGGCGGAGCCGTTGGTGAGCACCTGAGCCATCAGAATTTTTGGATGGCGATCTTTATCATCTTTATCACTGGACGGAAATGCAAGTGCATGCCAAAATAGCAGTTTGCCGATGACTTGCAAGCTTTTAGCGACTCTACACTAGTTAACGAAATGCCGTTGACATTGTTGGACATGCCAATATTGATGATGCAATTTACGCATGTCTACTCCCAAGGCTTTATTTGCATTCTGGGGCTACCACAACTAGCTCGCATCCTCATCTAGGTTTTGATGCATTTCTTATAATTGGACTCCTTGAGCCTTGGGTGTCATTCCAAATGATTATAGCCCTTCATCAGTGCGTTCATCCCATTGTTTCTTAAAATATGTGTTTTCTTTCAGTATCGCACAGCCAGACGTTTGTCTAGTGGGGCCCCTCCTTGGATTGCTCTTTTCTTGGATTTTCTTCTGTCAACGGGGCCTCCCATCCTGGAAGATCCACCCCCAACGAAACCCTTGCCGCCCTCGCCGCGCCCACCGCGCCCACCGCAGATCCTGATGGTGGCGGAGAAGCCCTCCATCGCAGCGACGCTCACCGAGGTCGAGTCCCGGGACATCTGGCAAGCGAGAAGCGGGTGGAAGAGAAGAGGGTTGAAGGCTCTATATAAGGGTTGACACATGTTGACACTGATTTAGGGTGACAAGGCCAAATCTCAAGCAAGGACAAATCGATTGCAGGAGATATGTCTGATTTCGGCTTGTGGTTTCTTATGTGTGTTTATGTGAGTGGCCCGTGGCAGAACTGGACCGTGGCGGCCCTGATGGAAAGAAGAAACGCCCTTGGTTCCCCCAGTTTGGAGAGGACCATGATGGATGCAGTAAGACAGGCCTCACACATTTCATCGATGTCATGGGCGACGAAACGCGATGCAGCCAAAAAAGAATTTGCTGTTGCATCCAGGCACTTTGCCCTCCACAGAATGGCGCCCAAAAGCGCAAGGGTGTGTCGCCAAGCTCGCCGGTACTCCTGACTCGGATTTGTGGATGCGGGAGAATTCAGCCATGCACATGTCGGGGTTGCAAACTGAAGACCGGCTGGAAGCCATTGCAGGTTGGCCTTCTTTCGTTTCTGTTTTTGTTTCATCGGAGCCACATGAAAATATGGGAGCCCAGGCTTGAAAAGGACGATTTACCGAGGACCCGCTTTCCTGTGAATCCACATCACTGCTACCGAGCATGTTTGTGGTGACGACGTTTGGCCGCTTCTTGGGGGCACGCCACGTTTTTTGGGGACCAAACGGCAGGTCCACGAGTACCGTGGCAGCTTTATGGGCCACTTGGACCTGGGTTCATACTGCAGTCTGTACAATAGAAGAAATGAAGAGGATGGCTCCTGCTATTTTTAGGCAACAAACAAATAAAGCTGATGCTGATAGTTTGAACATGAAGACACTCTGTGATCCCGCAAGTCTTTCTTTCTCACTGACCAGATGATTTGGGCGTCCCTGACCTGTCAGCTCAGGTCGTGCAAGCAGGCTGGAGCATACAGCAGTGAGGATGATTTCCCGATGCATCTTCGTTTTGAGAAGTTTGAGAAGACCGGTCCGTCTTCAACGGCAGGTTTCGTGTGACGGCGACCACTGGTCACGTCTACTCTCTGGATTTTAGCCAGGACTGCCCAATCCAGCGCGGTTGCTGGTCTTTTGGTGTGAGATGGTGCTATTTTTTTGCAGCGGATGCGACATGATGACAAGAATGACCAGGAGTACAACAACTGGGAAAAGCATAGCTGGAGTCCCAGAAAAGGTTTTTTTTTCTGCCCAGAGCGGGCCAGGCTCAGGTCACAGGCTCAGGTCCATTTCTCGCTCATCATTTCCAAAGCATCTCAGCCTCCAACCCTCCGCATTGCCCTCCGTGTAGAGAAGCTTGGCTCCGCTCCGCTTTTGACTTTTGGGTGTTGGAAGGGTCAAGAAAGACCTGTCAATCATGGATGGCAAGTATTACTTTGATCTCCTCGAGGGAATCAGCGCTATAACATGCCAGTCCCAACTCCTACTAGTACGCGTCATTCCCAGGGGGGGATCCATTGATCATGATTGATCTATATATACATATATATACAGTATATATATATATATATATCGATTTCTATTGATCACCCGCCTCACCCGTCTGCCCACCCCACCTGCTAACCCACCCCACCTGGGCCGCAACCGTGAACTACAAGGCCCGGACGTGCTCTTTAGCGCCCAGACGGTCCGCACTTATGACCCCCGTGGGAACATTCCAGCGTGGGGACACTTGGCATTTCTCGGAGGGAATTGCGGTTAGCCTGGGAAGTGGGAAGCAAGTGAACTTACAGAGATTCTGTTTTGTATCTTTGATGATGTTTGTATTATATATGGTGGATTCTTCTGGGGTTCTGTTGGATTCTGTGACTGGTATGATTTGATTTCAACTTGCTGTCGCCTTGGGGCTCTTGGAGCCGGCCAATCTGAACTGTGTCACCATTGGATTTGGAACCACCACTTATGCGGTTTGGACTCGGCTCCGGCAGCGGATCCCAGTGGTGAACTGAAGAAGCTGAAGTTGCGCCTAGGCATATTGCTGAAGAAGCCAGGAACTGTGACCTGCTGATTCTTTGGTTGGATTGCGACCGTGCAGAGCTCGGTTGGTTCCGGCTTGAACTGGGACTCCCAACTTCAAAGCAATTGGACTCCCAACTGGACCGGGGCTCCTTTGGTGTTTTTATTGGGACACCCCGGAAGATTGCCATCTACCTTCTCATGGCATTGCTTGGCCCCTCGTCGTGATGGTCGTCCTCTCGTGGGCACAGCTCAAACCAAGGTGAGGGTGAAAACATTTGCTTCGAGGTGATGGAATTGGCATTGCCTCAGATGATCCTTGTCATGATGGACTGCGTGCGGGCTACATCGACACACCGAACTCTTAGAAACGAGGGGCAGGAAACGACCGAAAAAAAGCTGAACCTTTGAGCAACCATACAGGTTTGGCGAACTGACACACTACATCATCCCATTGATCATCCCCAAGTTGTAGAGATGGCTGCATTCCGAGGAAGCCTCCGAGTGGTGTTGGCGCCCCAGACGGTTTGCTGCAGACCTGACGTCGCGCTCGACGGCTCGCGCACGACAGGCCTTTCCGCACGCGTATCATGGCATGGTTTATCGAGCCAGGCAGGGATGTGAACGAACCAAACGGCGAAAACGGTCCAGGTCTTTGACAGCTCCATGTCCTTTTTGGAGCTGTCATCTAGACATCAGCGGAGTGGGCCAACGGAGGTCGATGGGTTGTTCCTCGGTCGTAGGGAATGTATTGGGTTCCAAGGAGCCATGTCCGGGTTCGGTTGTCTCCTCGGAGTGGCGAACGTCTCAAAGGGCAAGGTTTCACGGGGTTCATTGGGTTTCCCAGGCAAATTCCAGGTTCGATCGTTCAAGTGCAAGATTGCAACGGGCTTTGGACCGTGGCAGTGGAAGAGCTTGCGTTCCTGAACGAGAGTAGAACAGTTAGCTAGCTCGTTCCGTTCCCAGTTCCATGTTGAGCAATCAAAGCGAAAGCGAAGGCGACTCGCACTTCGCACATGGTTCGGTTCCTTTCTGTTTGCTTTTCGACCGTTGTCGACACCGTGCCCGACGCGGACGGAGCGGTGAGAGGTTTAGCTCCTTGGCTCCTCAGGACCTTCAGGCGAGTGCCATCCAAAGGATGCAATCAAGAAAACGCAGAAAAGAACTGCGGAAATGAGATTGTAGAGGCTTTTTTCTTTTTGACGTTGTCAGGGATGCCTAAAAACCAAGCAACTACTGCGACAGCAAGTGAGTCTCGAATGCTTACGGCTTCCGTTACCAGATCAATCATTTGCCCTATTTCAGGCAGCAATGACTCAGCTGGCGCATCCTAATCAAAACGAAGCGCAGTCAGTGGATGCGCGCCAGGAGTTTCTCGGCGCTGTCACTGAAGCAAACTCAAAGACTCTTGCTGATAGAGTGAGATGCTATCCAATCATTCTGGTTCGTTTCTTTCTTTCTTTCTTTCTCGATTCTTGCGCTTTTTTTGCTTTTCGCTCAATATTTCTGTTGTTTGTTTGTGCCAGTACCTTTCTACACTGACCTATCGGGAGGGCACACGCCGGATCTCTCCATCCAGGAGCTGGACTTGCGCGTGGGCATCGCCTTTTCCAGGTGAGCTTCTGCTGCGGACGCGCGGCTAGGGAGCGCGCAGCTGGAGAACCACCGTCTGTTGACCCTCTCCATCACGTTTTACTCATTTTTATGTCCTTTTTGAAGAAGAGCAAAGTGAAGTGAAGAACTCACGCAGAATGTGAAGAACACGTGTTTTTTGCTTGAGAGCTGTTCACACATTTGGGAAGTAGATACATATGATGGATTCTTTGTGCAACATAAATATGTGAGGATTATTTTTTAAGGACTGGACTTAAGGCATCTTAAGGCCATTCCAAGGGCATCAGATGTGTTCCAAGTGTGCAGCAAAGCAAACGAGAGGCTGCAGACCATGTACTTCCGAAAGCACTTTGGCCACCAACTTGGAAAGCAAATGGTCACGTGCGCTGGCTGCATTGGTCGCTTCTGCCATGCGTTCGTTGCATGTCTTTGACTGCCAAAGGGGTCTTTTGGCTCTTTTGAAGCGGGGGGTCTTTCACACAAGCTTCCCAATTTGTCAACCCCACAACTCCAAGTTGCTTTTTGCAATCTGTTTGCATTCTTTCAACAGACTTTGCTAACATTCCAGCATTCAGGACATCACAAAGTCGAATTCTTTTTTGTGAACTGATGCATTCGGACGCAAGTTCGAATCGTCGAGGTACGGGCCCTGTCAAATTCCCACTTTGTGGTTCTGCGTTCATCGGCATGTCCGAGACCTCAGGGGAGCGCCGGTGTTTGTAGAGAAGAGGAGCGCGCAGACTCAGTCATTTGGCCTCTGACTCAGTCAGTGGTCTGCACCCCACTCCGTCCTTTGGAGTTTCATCGGTTTTCGGAAACCACACAACTGGGAACGAAGCACGAAGCACGAACCATTTCCTCATGTCCTTTTCGTCTCAGGTGCAAATTGAAGCCTTTGTGCCAGAGCCCTACTGGCGCCTGGTAGCCACACTGCCAGCAGGCCCAGGCCAGGCCTGATTGAAAACACTGCGAGGAAGATCGGAGCTTTTCCGAGTCCTACACCATGCTGTTTTGGAATGTTTTTGCGCAAACAGCACCTCCTGGTGTCTCATTTCTTCGGGTCTGGGAGCAGTCTCCACAGCTTGCATGGTGAGTTCGGCCAAAGCTCGGAAAAGGCCAACCCAAACTCCGGCCGCCAGGGCAGACGAGCTTCCAAGCGCATTGCCAAATGGGGAAGATCTGGCAGGAGAATGAGGCCAGCTGGCTGATCTGGCTCTAAGCAGCAGCAGCACTCGACCTGCAAAACGCATTCCCGGATTTGACTCAACACGTCAATTATTGCCAGTATTGCTTTGGCTATGGTCCATAGCTCTGCCTAAGACGGGCTCTGCCACGACCGGACTCTGAAACTCGTCCTGCCACGACTCGCAGCGAGGCCCGCGTCTTGCTGCAGCGAGCACGAGCCTCCGAGTCCGCGGTGGTCACGTCGCAACGAAGCTGGCTCGGAGGACTCAGAGAGCGTTCCTCGCATGGCCCGAAACAGCTCTGGTGAAGCTCTGAGCTGAAGCACTTTGAAAGGAGAACTTCTGCATCCAGCTCAGATCGTTTGGTTCATGCTGGTTCCCTAAACATCCCCAAACCAGGCTGCAACATGTTGGGTCAAGGGCGGGTGTTTGCCCGGAAAGCACACGTTTCCGACCACGGAACAGGGTTCTCAGGGGGGGTCTGGGGCTGAGGACAGTTTCGTTTGTGTTACTAGTTGCGCAAACCGAACTTCACATTTCTTTGCCGACGTCGTGACGTTGCGTTCGCGGTTAATCTGACCTTCGCGTTGCGCTTTTGGCTTAGAGGACATGACGGGCTCGACGTTCGAGGTTTGTTTCTGTTTGTCGTTAGTTCTGTCACTGTCGTTAGTTCTGTTTGTCGTTTATGGCAAATCAGAGATGTTGAGCAAAACAGACATGTCAACAATTCTACAGAGCCTTTGATGGACACGCAATGTGTCACGCCGGATTAGGTTGGAAGCGTGCGAGCGTTCGCCGCTACGGGCCACGCGGACCACAACTCTTGTTTTAGACTCGCCGGCCTCATTGCCAAGCGGTCTCAGTGGCAACCTGTGATCGATTTGACAGAATCGCCTGTACGGTGTTCTTCGGATGCGCGAATGCCAACGGTGGAGGAACATCCGATCAATGGCGACAATGTTCTTGTTCAGCCAACATCCAGGGTTGGACTCAATGCTGCAGTGCTGCCGCAGGCTGTGAAAATACACAGAGACTGCGCAAGACATTTGTCCGTCAGCTCAAATGTACAGTGAGCTGTCATGGCCCACTTGGGAAGAGGACTGATGTCGTGGCGCAAAAGAATCCTCGAGTTGCAGATCATGGACCAGGTGGGAGGACGGGAGAGACTCGAGGATAGGACTGACTGGTCTTTGGATGGTCTTAAAAATGCACTCAAGTTCTCGTCTTGGAGTTAGTGAACTGATAAGTTGAGTGTCCCGAAAACATCCGAAAGCCAAAAATACAATCTAAAGCACATGGTTTTCTGGCCCTCTGCATGTTGCAGTCGGGGCAAGCCCCCCTCGTTTACCCAACATGTTGCGAACATCTAGCCGAATCTGGTTTCTGGATGTTGATGCTTGCTGTCCCAAGCACCCTCTCTAAGGCTCAGCTCCTATCGACGGCCACGGCCTTTGAATACCGCAGGGTGGCCTGATTCGTCTGTCACAGCCTTGGGTAGTGGAAGAGCAAACTTCTGGCATCTACTTACTATTATATTATACAACTCATGTATCATCGAGGGCAAACACCTGGACTAGACCCAGAACACTTACTAGAGGAACAGCGTGGAGTGGAGTTGAACATTTTCTCAAGCAGCTACCCTAGGTGCTGTTTTGACTGGTTGCATTTTGTCCCTTCAGCCCCATCAAACACGTCACTTTTTTCCAAAAGTCCTCAACTTGGGTCTTCGGGATCTCAATGGATTTTCTGTGCCTTTTTTTGCCGCCAACTTAGGTGGAGATGCTGAAAATGGCCTCCCAGGTTTTAGGCGAGAGACCTGTCAATCTGGGGCCTACGTTCACATTACCGGCCATATGGTTGAACATCTAAAGGGTTCAAGTCAGGCGAAAAAACATATCTGTAATCAGTAGAAAACTAGGGCTGCACGTTCCAGCAAAACATTTTTCCGCCGACCTTTTGGCCTTTTGGAATCGACATTCCTTTCTTCTTCCCTTCCCGACGACCTAATCAGCTGACAGCTGACAGCAGCTTGGTTCTTTCTCCGGGGTTCCCGCACCCTTTTCCTGCACGCGCCCGGCGTCACGCAGGGCTGGGTCCTGACGATGCCCTTCACGTAGCGGAAGCCTTGTACCTGAAAGGTGCCGACCGGTTTCGACGGAAAGCCGCCGTTGGACGCAAGGTATTGCGTCACAGAAGTGGGAAGAAGTGTGTGACAACATGCGGCGTTGCCATTTACACAAGAGCATGTTTGATCATCTTCGTGCATATATTCCAACATGTTCTTCAGAACAATTGTTGTTTAACACTCACAATTCTTGCACTTACACTGCAAGTTCTTTTATTTATATAATCAGAATCACCGCCTGCTGGATTTGCCAGGCATTCTCTCATATCCGCGCACCGAGACAGCCCGGAGGCACAGCTTTGTTATCAGGCTCTTTGGATCCGGACTTCACTGACCGACCTGGGAAGAAAGCAACGAGAGATCTTGCAGAAGCAGTTCGACTTCGAGACCCTCAACGTTTGAAGCAGATCCATCGATGACCCTTTTTTCCCGCATGCGCACGTGCACGCCTTGCCCCCGAGGACAAATATCCCGAGAACTTCGACCTGGAAGGAACGGCTTGGGGCACCTGGTCTGGGTTGGGGCGGGGACACCGGACAAGTCTCCCTGGCACACTTGGTTCGACTCTCCGAGTGGTTGACCTGATTCAAAAAGACTATATAAGCACCGTGTCTATGGCAGTCATGAGCTCCAGAATCAAGAACAGGAGCATTACCCAGACACGACTAATGGGACTGCCGTATATGCCGATCAATTGACCCCTCAAACCACCTCACATACGTGGAGTGTCTGGGCAAGAACATGAGCATTCTGATATTCTGAAATGTATGCGAAAAAAATTCAGGTTCGCAGCATGGCAGAACCCAACCTCCCATGGGCGCAGGCGCTGTGTGGCAAAGCACAGGGACAAATCGGGTGAGTTTGGTGTTGGAAGTCTGCCAGTCGCTATAATTCATGAGTGCTATTGTTCTCTTGATCCTAACTTGCTGCCTTGCTCCAGTCAAATTCACTTTGCCTCGAGCGAATTGGACGAACCAGTTTTCAGATCTCAGCTTTGTCACGGGATTTTCGGGTGATTTCGCATGTGGACACCGGATTTCCATGGATGTGCCATTGGAAAGCGTGGCAGTTCGCGCAGCAGCTGGCCACCTCTGGTTTGACCGCACCACGGGAGGTGGAACCTTTTGGTCGCGGTGTTCCGTGTTTTGGGTCGCTTTCTGGAGCAGCCGGGATTTCGAAAGGTTGAACTGTTGAAAACATGGAGTATAGATGAGTATAGTGTTTTGACATGTTGACTTGCAGAATCCTTGGTGTTGTCGGGCATGTGGTAGGGACTTTGGTGTTACAGTGTCCAATCTCACGTGGAAGTAGAACATGGCACCTTGGAAGATGACTTTCCTTTACAAACAGGGCGGTTTCCACTTGCACATTAGTGAGTACATGGTCCGATCCGGGCACTGAGATTTTGTCCTTTGATCCGCTCTTAACCTATAGCATGCTTTCCGCCATGGACTGCAGGATGGTCATGACGTCGGTGATCATCCACCCATCACACCGGCGGCAGCTGGCCTGTGCTTTGAGACTCCAAACACCAATTGATGCATGTTGCCATGCTCTGTTGTCTCTTGTTGACTCTTCAGCTCTCCCTTTCAAGTCATTGGTTTTGGATGTTTTTGGTTTCATTTCACATCATTCATGGCTTTTCTGGCATGTCCTTGTTATACGAAGCGCCAGGTGAAATGTGCCAGTCGGAGCCAGTGTGGCTCTGACGCGCACTGGGTGATGCTGCTCAGAAAGCGTACATCAACTAGAGAAGCCATATATATATATATATTTGTTGTGAGGTTTCTAAGCCAGTATATGGAATGATGCCGCGAATTGAAGAAAAGGAGAGATAAAGAGAGAAAAGAACATAATTAGTATTAGAGTCGATTAGAGGATTTGATGAACAAAAATGAACGTATCACGTCCAGAAAATTAGAACTCATTTCTGGCCGTCCGTCTCACAACGTCTTGTCGAACGTTCCTTTTTCACGTGGCCGTCAAGGCCCTTTACGAAGAGGTTTGTCGTCACTTCCTGGCCACCGTCTCCCCAGATGCCACGCTACGAGAGGCGGCTTCTTCCGCGTGCGGTGTGCGGCCGGATTCCACACACACAGATGTCAAAAGCATGTGTTCAACAGTAACACATCCTACTAGTCCTACCACCTGTGTGTACCAGTACCACCGAACCTGTAGACCACCTGTCCTTCAATATACTTCAAGTGGGCAACATTGAATCCGATTCACCATCACTACAGCACATCATTCCTCACCCAACCGATTGACTCTACTGACTCCTCTGAGTGAGCTTATAGGATCCCTTCCCCAGCGCCACCAGTGTTCCTGGGACCTGGTCCTCCTCACGTTGACCGTTCCGCGAGCGTCCAAAGCCCGCCTTCAACGCAGGCGGAAGTGCAGCTGCAGCTGGGCGACGTCGCCTTCAGCGCCACCAGTGGACGGATGACCTCCTTCGGCTGGGCGCGGGTGGCACGGGTGCAGCTCCAGGAGTGCTCCGGTGCGGTGATGCAGTGATGGAGCTGCAGTGATGGAGGGTTTCGAGCCGCATGAGTTGGGAGTCTGCCAGTTCTTTTACTTTAGACAATTGGGAGTCTTGCAACAATGAGACTAATGAGACTTGAAGAAGTTGGAACCTCTGAGCATTTATTCATTGACATTATTTTTAGAACTGTTGCTTTTTTCAGTGCTGGCCGTTTGCAGGACACTGGTGCAGTGGATCTCAGTGCTGGCTTTCAGCAAGGAGTGCAGTTCATTCAAGACTTGGTCCTCCATGCTCCATCGAGACGAGCCGATCGGAGGAGACGTGCTGAGACTTCAAGACGTCTCGCTGCGGCAGCACTTCACGGAGCCTCCGCAGCACTTGACCGAGAGCGAGCTCTTGGCCTTGATGGACCAGCATGGCATTGGCACCTGGGCGACGAAAGGGGAGAGCTGCTTTGAAGGATTGCGTTGAAGGATTCCGATGCTTCCGATGGTTCTGCATGTTTTTTTTCCAGATTCTTGTGTGGTGGTGTAAATCGAAGAGATGTGTGCAGCCCTGGCAGGTGCACGCATGGCTGACGGGGGAAGTGAGTGCTCGGACCTAAGGCACCGATGCTTCAATGGCCTCACATGTGGGGAACGTCCAACGAAGGTGGGGTGTTCTTTTTCGCAGCCAGGCGGTTTGTCCATTTTCTCACACAATGGACGAACACAATGGGAGAACGAGACCTCTTGAACCATCTTGAAAGCCTCACAATTATGGCCAGCATGGCAGCCATGGCATGAAGGGATTCAATTGCTTTCACTGGAAGTCGAGGGCTCTATGGCCACAGCATGCCCTAACTCATCTTCGGCGAATACGTTGTGACCACATGGTCTCATCAACTGTAAGAAGATGGAAAAGGAACCCACTGATTTCAGGGCTTTCACGGTATCATCGGTACCCTTCTGCAGGAAGTACGTCCAACTGGATGAGCAGACCCGGCAGATGAAGCCTTCTGAGCTGGGCTTGGCCCTGTGCCATGCATATATGCTCATCGATCCCGAGTCGCTTGGACCAGAAGATGAGTAAGTCTATCTAGGCTATGTAAGTGGTACTAGTAGTACACAAGCTGCTGAAGAGATGAGGAGTCGGAGTGTGAATGATTTACTAGGCTAGATCCCATGCTTGTGACGTGATTTTGGCCGCTTCCAGCACATCTTCGACACAGTGTGCGTCGAGGATAGTGCTGCCTACAGTGCGCGCTTCCATTGAAAATGCCTGTGCACGAGTGGCCCGTGGTGAAGCACGGAAAGCCCAAGTGGTGGAGAAGCTTGGTGAAATATGGTGAAATGATCAATTGAGTTGAAAGAGAAGCGCAGAGAAGGGGAGAGGCCGACTTCATTGAACTTGGAACCAAAGGTTCAGCCTTCATCAGTCTTCTATTGTTGGGAATGATGCCCAAACAACGTTATTTTGTGTTATTTTACTTTCATGTCGAATCTTCAGCCTTTGCTGCTCCAAACTATGTGGAGCAGCTCTTCTGTGCTTCAAAAAGGAAGCCAACCATCACCCTTGGACCCTTTGCATCATGCCATGGCTTGGCTTTGCGTTTTGGCTCCGAGGCAAAGCCTCCGGACCTTTAAGAACAAGTTCTTTGGCTTCGCCCGACAAATTGATCGGGTACCGTTAATGCTTGCCGTGGCCCACAGCCTGCCACTTGGGCAGCGATTTCAGGGGGTTGCTGTGGTGGATGTGGGTGGTATGGTGATGTGAGATCAATGAGATCTGGTGGATTTGCGATTTGCTGGGTGCATATTGCTTGCACGTACAGAGAGATGCCATGATCGTATATTCACAAAGAAGATGGAACAAGAAGTAACCGCGGGGGTGCATTTGGACATGGAGTTTGGTTGCAAAGAGCTTGGGTGCACTTTTGGAAGACGGTCTGCAAGTGCTTTCCTTTGATCATTGTAGCTGAACCAGCTTGAAATATCCCAAAGCCACAGCAGAAGCCCAAATCCTTTTTCTTTTTTTTTCTGTTTTCACCATCACTAGCTGATGTAACCGCTTAGTCTTGGGGAACACAACACAACCTGGGCCCCACCCGGAACCCCGCGCGCTTCTGCCGCTTCAGGAGCGGCCGCGCCGGTGGATCTGCGTCCCAAGGAGCGCGACGACGAGCAAGACATAGACACAAGAAAAGAGAACTTATGTGTTATATAAGCTATATGTGTTATGTATATCTATTATGTTTGTATAGGGTTATGTCTATATATATATCTCTATTTTTGTGTTATGTATAGTTATCTATTATTATGTCTATATATTGTCATAACACAAAATAGATATGACATAGACAATAGAGACATATAGATACATGACATATATAGACATATAATATAGACACATAGACACTCCAAAGCTTTGGGCGAAGAACGTGAGTGTCAGATTTTCTTCGGGCACTTCGTGGGTGTTTGAGACCTTTGGCTGCCGATGTTGGCAGCTTTAGACGGCTTTCTGATACCGAAAAAAACAACGGCTTTCATCATTGTTCATGTTTTGGAAGTTCCCGTTTTCCAAGAAGCTGGCAGCCTCCCGCAGCCTCACCTTGCCACGTTCTCCGAAACAGTCTCCGCGCACCTCCAACGCGCGTCTCGCCCCAGCGCGAACGGCGAGCGAGCGAGCAGAGAGGACGTGCTGCTGGCCAAAGCTTGGCCCTTTGGCAGGAGGCCGCCGGTCGAACTTTGAGCGTGTCCCTGGAGGACGGAGATGGGACGATGTTCGGAGGAATCCGGGGTCGGCACGGTGACGTTGGTCATGTTGGTGGGCTTGTAGAAGATTCCCCTTTTAACATTGATTGATCTTAATTTTGAATGAACACGGTCCATGGTCAATTCATGTTCATTGATTCAGATTCATTCCACGATTAGCAGTTGAACAGCAGGACGGGGCAAGCAGGGCTTTGGCCCATGAGCCACGGAAACACCCCTGTCGCGCCAGGAGCTACTGGACCTCAAGGAGCACGTGGTCGTGACCGAGGCGCCCGAAGGCGCGGGAGCAGATGGGAGGAGTGCAGAAGGAGTTCATCTACAAACTCCTTGGTGAAGAGATCTCAATGGGATGCAGTCGAAGAAATCACTAGAAAGCTATACGAAAGCTGCAAATAGTTGAGAAACTGGAGAAGAACATTTAATCTTTCAGAACGTATCGTGTGTGAGACTCAGCTTGGAGTGTTAGTCGGATCATTCCATTTTTCCAACAAGTCGATCAGCTGAGAAGAAGACCACCCGGTCCTTTACTGTGTGGTTTGACTTCCAAGCTCGTTAGCCTAAAAGTAGTAAAAACGCCTGAAATGGCACAGAGGTTGTATGAGGTTGTAATACAGATATTGGATCGTGCGAAAAAGGTAGCAGCGGCACCCGAAGTCCGCAAACACGAAAACAAGAGGGCGCACTGAAGCGCCGCGGCCGCGCCTTTTTGCAAGGCAACTGCCCTCCCAGTCTTGAGAGGGAACGACGGTAAGTGAAGGTCGAAAACAGTTCGAACTGCCGAAACACAAGTGCACAGCGTGAACTTTACATGGGGGAGAGTCCTTCGTCATCACCCCAGTTCCGCTGTTCGAACCGGTCCAGCCATTGGTAGACCAAGGTCCGCACAGATGAGCCTGACCGATCATCGACATGGTCAGGTGGAATCACCCTCAAACTACAAAGGCGGCAGAAATCTACTCGCCGCTGCAGGCTTTCATCTCTTCCGGCCAGGCTTGAACAGTTCAAGGTCGTGTGCCATCTGGCGCCATGCCGGCTGATGATCATGCCATTGTAGAAGGGGCATTCATTTCCATGCTCATCCATCTGCCTCAGGGCGATCTTCAGGATCTGGGAGGCTTCCTGTGCAAGGGTCTCAGCAGCATTCTGGTTTCTCAGAACCAGATTCATCGCTGTCGTGGCTTCGACAGCAGCAAGGCGGGACTCCTCGGCTTTGGAACTCCAGCGCAGGACTTCCTGCTTCAGGCGTTTGACTTCTTCTCTAAGGCGAGCTGGGATGATCGCTTCATCCTTTTGGACTGCAGCCTCAGTGACCTGGGGTGGTACTCGGTGGTGTGCATCATGGCTCCATCGACCAACCATGAAGGCTGTGCTCAAAAAAAGTAGAAGGAGGGTGCACAAAACAGTTCCAAACCACTCCATTCCAGCTTCAGGTTCCACATTGGCCGAATCGGCCGTGACCAGCTGCGGGGCCATGAACAAAAGCAAGAACCAAAACATGAAATTCGTCTTACGACCGCGGTAGGACTCGAGCGGGCGGCTTCCGACATGGCTCGGACTGTCGGAGACATACTCAAGCTTCCGGTCGGTCCTGGCAAACATGACATTCACAGGAACCTTGGAATTCCGAAAAATCTCTTCATTCCAAAACACCTGCTCATCGACATTCACGTCATTCTCCGCAGGATTCTCGTCGATGGGCTGCTGGTGCTCCTCGTGGAGGTTGGGTTCCTCATTGATCACATGTGGTGGTACCACATGGATGCTTTCGGGTTCCTCATTGATCACATGTGGTGGTACCACATGGATGCTTTCAGCAAGACTCTGTTGGAGCTCAGCTTTTGTCTTCTTCTTGGCAGCTTTGTATGAGGGGTCCCAAACAAGCTTCAAACGACCGTGACGTAGCCGTTGTGCAAGAAGTGCTCTGGCCGACTCTTTTGTCAAACCGTCAGCCAGTTGGCGCTCCGATGACATCCACCTCAAAGAACCGCCCAGTGAAGACAGGCGATCCTTCATCACACGGATCTCAAGCGAAACTCGCTTGTCAACCACAGAGCTTCCGACTCCTTCTCGGTGATAGGAGTCGTAAAGAGCTTTGGCGTCCGTGATCATGGTGGGCGACAACAAGGATGGAGCGTCCAAGAGCTCTTGGAGTCGCTGGCGAGGGTCAACCAACAAACTCCAGTAGATGCTGGCATGCTCCAAGGCATCGCAAGCTTGACCACCGCTTTGTGCTTCGGCGCCCAAGGAAGAGCGTGCAACTCTTGGCGTTTTCAAACTGCGCCAATCCAACACGTGGTAGGCTCCTTCGGGACCATTGGCCTGAAGCAAAGCTTTGTTGACCATCAGGATCACATAGCCAGCTTGTGAGGCTCCGTCACTGCGGGTGGCAAAGGCAGCATCAAAAAAACATACCAAACAAAGTTCTGAAACTTCGCCCCGGTGGCTGTACTGTAGGCCAACATCAGCATTTTCTTTTGCAAAACGCAGCAGGCGATTTGTGTCGGCCACTGTCTGAAGCGTGGCCTTGGTGACATGACCGCTCAGGATCGAGGTGCTGCTCTGCAAGTGAGGACTGCTTTGAACTGCGGGCCATTGAAGTGAACCAAGAAGTCCTCTCAGCTGTGTCAACTCACGCTGATTGAGCGCATCGGTGAGGCTGCGCTTCTTGTCGTAGGTGATCGGTTTCACCTTTCCCATGTAGCTGGTCTGGTTGAGGAGGAGACCATCATCCTTGACCTGAATGTCACAACCACAATAGGTCAAGGGCTTTCCATCATCACCAGTTTTCCATTCACGGAAGTTGAAGGTGCTCTTCAGCTTGGTGATGGTGTCGTTGTAGCACTGGGAGGATGGCGTACCGCAACCAAGCATGTCATCGACGTGCATGATGACCATACCACATAGGCCATGAGGTCCAAGCAGGTTGGAGTGCTCAGCTGTGGTGTCATACTCAGGGTTGAGGTCACCTTCATAGATCAAGAAGCAGCAAGGGTCTTGAGGATGCTGTCGGAGGCCCATAGCGCTCAGCTTATCAACTGCAGCCATGAACCAAGATCTCGGGGCATCGATCTGGCCGTAGCAGGGCTTGAGAAGCAACATACGGGTGTCAGCTGTAGCTCCAAGCAACTGCAAACACTCTTGAGGAAGCTGCGCCCACAACTTGCGTGTCTGAGGTCGACCCTGCAGGAAGGCGGTTGCTATGTCTGAAGTCCAGATTGGCCACTGCATGGTGGAGGCCAAACTCAACAACATGGATCTCGACAGCCTCGTGGTTGTGGGCGATGAGGTTGGAACAGTTCCTTCCCAAGCGTCTGGGTCCATGAAGCCTCTGACAATGAGCCTGGCTTTGGCACGGGGGCTGCCATCAGGATTCTTTGACCACTTCAGCAGCATGCGACTGGTCAGCGTCCGACTGGGCTCAGCTTCTCTGGTGGTCTCGAACTGCCAGACGTGGTTGTCAAAGAAGGATTGCAACTCTTTGACCTTTGCAGCTTTGAAGGCTGCTCGCTCATCAGGAGTCATGTGGCGCTCCGAGAGGTTGTTCTTGTTCTTGTCTTTCTTGAAGCTTTTGGCGTGCCGGAGTTTGGTCTCCTTGCCAAGCTGTCGTGCTCCTTGAAGTGGGGCCTTAGCGAACATGGCCATCTCTCGACGAAGGTCGCCTTTGATCTGGAAGATCGTGACTCCAGTCCAGGAGCGATCCAAGGGAGTGGAAGCCGTGTAGCCATCGTCGGTCTGTTGGATGCTTTTGCCGTTGTTGTCATACATAATGGTCACCCGAACCAGATCAAGCTGATCTGAGGTGAAGGGGCTGTCTTTTGGCAATTGGTGCAGGCACATCTTGGATCGTCGAGGGATCACATGGTGTCTGATCAAACATCCGGCTTTGACTTCCCAGAAGTCGCGGTCTCTCTTGTCGAGCTGGAAGTAGCCATTCTCATAGGTCCAACCTTTTGGCAGGCAGTTGGCTTCAATGCCGGAGACTTGGAAGGCATGATTCAGCAAGGCGTGATCAGGTGCCTTCTGACTTGCATAGAGAGCAGGATCATCCGAAGCAGCTAGAGCTGCCGATACTTGGGCTGGCGCTTCTGCGGCTGCCGCTGTTGCTTGTGTGTTGTGCTCTGCACTGTTGTATTCTGCTTCTGGTGTTGTTGTTTGTGACGTCGTGTTGTATGGCTGTGGTGACCCAATGCGCTGTCTTCGCAGGGGGCCAAAACTAAGTGTCTCCTGTCTGTTGAAGCGAACT